AATATATATATTTATAAAAATATGTTTTTTACAATGAATATGAGAATATATATAAACAATATTTGTGTGAAATTATTGATTGCATAAAATAAATGAACGAATTTTAGAACAAAAACAAAAATTTGGAGGTCGATTTTGTGGATTTTAGGTTTTATTGAATGAAAAATAAAATTTGGATTTTTAGGATTTTTAGGATTTTTCGTCCCATAAATCTTGATAGTGAAACACAACAATATCATGGACCCCCTCGCTGCTCTCATACTGCTAGCATTGTTAGTTGGACTTTGTAACTTCATTAATTGAATTAATGTCAAATTCTAAATTGTCATGTATATCTTTATAGTATTCAAATATTAATTTATATAAAAATTTGTTTCAAGTTTTTTTGTAAGATAAATGTATGTAATGTAATAGTATACACTTAATCTAAGCTTTTCTATTTTTTTTCAAATTTTTTTTAATTTTTTTGGATGTTTTTTACCTTGTTTTCTTTTTTTAAAAAAAAAATATTTGACCGGTTAAAACGGTTAACCGCCCCGATTAGTTCAGTTCCGATTCAAACCACTCCTAACCCAAACTGGTTAACTGTTCTAGTTCGATTTTGCGAACATTAGCCTATAAATATACTTGATTTTAATTATTTTTAAAAATTAAAAATTTACCATTCAATTTGAATATCAATGAGTATTTTAGCCTAACATTATCACATGAGCAATCCCACATAATGGAGATGATCCTAGACGTTGGATACTAGATTTGCTAGATTATACCAACTATTAGAGGGAGATAAGGCCAAATGAAGTTATTTTTCAACAGGAACGATGGTAACTTCAAGTCATAAGTCATTGTACCATTCTTGTGTAAGATATTACGATTTTTCTTGTGGCACCGATAACGTAATAGCATTAGCAACTATGTGGCACGTTTTGGTTTGTCACACTAAAGCCAACGTATAAATGGCGGCCTTGTTTGAAGACGGCCAGCCGACTTAGTGTGGATCCCCTAGGACAACAACACGTGTAAGCAACCCTAACCAAATAAAAAATAAAACAATGCTTAGACGACTTTTTTTTTATTTTTACCTTACCCACACCTTTTTCTCTTCTATCCCACCAAAATAGGAGCTCCAGTATTATATAAGCACGGTTCGGTAATAGGGCTCTGACACTGTGTGAAGTAATGTTCGCCAATAGGGCTCTGACACTGTATAAATACGGTCTGGCAGTAGGGCTCAGACATTGTATAAAGTGCAGTCCGGCAGTTGCAAAGAGCGGTTCGACAATTGCAAATGGTGATCCTGCAGTAGATGTTACTGGATTCCAGGGCTCTGACACTATGTAAAGGGCGGTCCGGTAGTTGTCTTAGGGCAATCTGACACTTGTGAGCTCCGGCAATATGATGATACGCTCCAACAATGTGCTATTGGGGTCAAAAAGTCAACCTCAATTTGGCCAAAACGTTTTTTATGTACGACAAGAGAATTTTCATTTAAAAAGGATGAACTTTTTCTATTGGGTTATTTGTATAGAAAGTTTGTTTTGGGGAAAAAAGTGAAAGAAAAAATTAAGTTGAGGGTAAGTTGCATAGAAAGTATGGTTTTGGGAATTGATTTTTGTAATTTTCCCTTTTTTTTTTCTCTATGGTATCCCAAAAATGGATTCATCAACTAATCACATCATGATTATTTTCATAAATGAGTAGTTACTCCTAAATTATGGTTTTTAGAGGAGGGAGTAAAAGGCAAGCTTTCTATGCTTTTTCTATTGCATAAAATTTTTATATATTTTTCTATCATACCATCAATTGTGAATGGAAGGCTGAGATGGCCCAAATCACAATTTCGTGCATCTATAATATTTTACTTTTAACTTTTCTATAAACATTTTGTTACTAGATTTTGGGTATCCACTCATCTCTTAAACGCACACCTGTAAAAATATAAAAAAATCTCAATAAAATAAAGGAAAATATCTCCATACCCTTTATTTTTAGGCTTCATATCATAATAGATCAAAGGTTTTAAAAGATGTCTTGAGGTATGAAAATTGTTATTTCTTCTAACTCTCCCCCCACCCCCCACCCCCTGCCTGAGCTAATTTAAACATGTTGTTTTAGGCCAAACAAATCTAAAAAGACATGTCTTTTCTAAATACAATTCTCTCAAACTTCTAGAGAGAGAGAGAGAGAGAGAAGGGCTTCATGGAGGTGAGAGGTTATCGGGAGGAGAGAGAGTGGGAGAGAGACAGAAAGAGAGAGAAAAAAAGAAGTTTGTAGTATCTAAGTAAAAAGAGAGAAATAATTGGGTTTACAAATGGAAAAAATTTATATAAAGATACAACCTTATAATGTAGAACTACAGATGCACCTCAAAAATCCATCGAAAAAGGTAGTTTTAAGGTTGAAAAACCCTTTGATAAATCATCTCGACATCGAGATGTATGACCATGAAAAAGAAAAAGATTTAACTATCAGAAATAGTGTATTTTACGACATATTATCTATAGTGTCCATTTTCAAGATTTTTATATGTTTATAGATCTACTCGATTTTAACCATTTTTGAAATTTAAAATTTTATAATTAGATATAAAAATAGATTTTGAGATAATCCTACGAACATTTTGCGTCAAATTATATACGATGACAAAACTTGAAGGCCCACCTTACCTCTACAGCTACCGATGCATCTATATGCAAACTGCACCCTTTAGAAATATCATGTCTTTCTCACATTTGTTTAGGTTAAAAAAAAAGTTTAAAGTGGCTAAGGGGTTAGAAGATATCTTTTGAAACAATGGGTTTATCAAGAAATGAAATATAAAAATAAGGGATATGAAGATATTTTCCCTAAAATAAAGTCACTAAAGTGCCCCTCAAAATTTCAGGGGTATTTTGTTCATTATATTTTATCAAATTTTTTTAAATATTTTTTAGCTGCATCGCATTGAGATGATAGCATATACCAAATTTCATATTCATATAATTTGTAAAAAAATAAAAATAAAATACTTTGAGACGTCAAATTTCAGATCAAATGGTCAATGGCTTATGTGATCTTAATTGGACGGTTGGATGGAAGGGGAAGTATATATCTTCTATATAGTAGGGAAATTATAGAAACCTTTTACTTGAGTAAAATGAGTATATAATACTGCAGTATATAGTATGGGCAAGCTTTTTATGCTTCTCTTACAACATAAAACTTATATGCTTCCCTTTATCCAACTATCATTCTGAATGGAGGGCTAAGATTGCCCCAATCACAATATCATGTCTCTACACTTTTTTATTTTTAATTTTTTATATAAAAATATTTTGACACCAAATTTTGGGCATCCAATCCTCTATTAAACTCGCACTTATAACAAATATAAAACAAATATCTCCAAAAAAATAAAATGATCAAAATACCCCTAAAAGATTCAAGGGTATTTTGGTAATTATATTTTATTGAAAAATATTTTTAATAATTATTTATAGGTGCGCCCCAATGAGAAGATGGTACGTACCAAATTTCATATTTATACAATTTGCAATAAAAAAATTAAAAATAAAATACTCTATGGTGTCGGATCTAGGATCAAACAGTGAGGAGCTCACTTGATCAAAATTGGACAGCTGGATGGTAGAAGAAACATAGATCTTCTATGCTATAGATAAAGTATAGAAACCTTTCCCATATAGTATTGGCATGGGAGTAAATGGAGTATATAGTAGTGTAGTATATAGAAACCTAAGGGCCTGGGCGTGTCGGGCCAGCGTCAAGGCCAAAACAAGGTCGGCACATCTTGACCCTTATTTTAATTTTTTTTGTTTTGTTTTTTTTTTTTAAATTTATTCAGCCCCAGGCCTTGATTGGGCCAACACTAGCCAACACTAGCCACTGAGGAACAGAACCAAGATAGGGCCTTGTTGACCCAGCCCAACCCCGGTCCATCGCCAACCCTATAGACAATAATATTGCGTACCTCCAAGAAATAATGGAACTTTTACACCTGGGAAGCTCAGTAGTGTACAAATTTCCTATGGGGTAAAGTAAGTTGTACGAGGGGGCATTTGTCGTCCATTTTGAATAATGGACGTTGACGATTAACTTACCATGGAAATGCTTCGTGGTCATCTAATCCGTAATGTTCATCATGAGAGTCAAAGTCGATGGTTTTCTAATTTGCTTCATTATGATGACGTAATTGGCCATAAGTTTACGAGAACTGAATTATTAATAACAAATTTCTATTTTATTGAATATAAAAAATTTAAAAAAAATTACAAAAAGAATTCCCAAAAAAAAAAGAAAATGGTTTGCATGACTACAGTCCAAAAAGTGGAAAGCATCCATTTTAAAGATGGATGTCGATAGGCGTTCCATCCAAAAATATGAAAAGTAACGGTTCAAATGTTTTTTTATTAGAATTATTATTTTTAAATTTTAAAATTTATTTATTTTTTCATATCCATGACATCTATGTTAGCATTACATATTTTTAAAAATTAAATAAAAAACTCCACCTTAAAAATAAAGTATTAATAGGTCGCCACATAAAAACCGAGTCCAAAAGAAGAAAAGAAAATATTTATGAGCCACTGGGGTCCTTATCAGGGGATCGTTTCCACGATGGTAACATACCTTGGTCCCTAACTCTTTTCATACATGAAAACGTTTCGCATCTTTTGACTTCCAACTGACGAAACGGAGCCTCCTTTCGTTTCCACGATGGTAACATACTTTTATCGCAACCCTTTTCATACTTGGAAACGTTTCCGGCCTTTTTGACTTCCAACTGACGAAAACGGAGCCTCCGTGGTGTGACAACAGAACCTACTTCCTACAGTATTCCGGCGCCTCCTTTGGGGCCTATAAATAACCTCTTCTCCCATGCAACTGCTTACGCGAAGAGAGAGAGGTATTAGAACATTTTAGAGAGAAGTAACAGTACTCAAATAGAGAGAGAGGTATTAGAAATCTTATTTTAGTAGGTGTTACGATTTTTAGAGAAGGAGATGGAGAAACATATTGAAGTTTTAGTTAAAGAGATGAAGCAAATGATGCGTGAGATGAAGGTCCCCATCCACAATCCATCTGCTTATGATATTGCATGGGTGGCCATGATTCCAAGTGATAAATGTGGAGGGGAGCCCATGTTTCCAAAGTGTTTAGAATGGATTATTCAGAATCAAAAAGTTGAGGGATTTTGGGGAGGGGACGATGACGGCAACTCTCCCTCTCCCACCGCTGAGTGCCTCCCTGCTACACTTGCATGCATTGTTGCCCTTAAGACTTGGGACGTAGGTCACGAGTGCATGGAGAGAGATACGCAAACAACTTTTTCCCCTTATTAATAAGATTTTTTTTTGGTAGCTCAGTGGGGAAGATGTTCTCCATCCATAACAAGAATTGGGTTCATGTTGTGGCATCCTACTACCCTAATCATGTAACCTTCTGTTTCTGTATGGATATTTTTCTCAACTGCTTTGTGATTTGTTTTACCTTCCATCCTAGCACATGGTTTTTGTTGTATGAAATCATTCTCCCCTGTAATGGCAATGGGCCGGGCCATCCGTGACCCTACTCCAGCCCTTCTCCCCAATATGGCCGGTGGCTTAAGACAAAAATAAATGAAGACAAAATAAAAGAAAAAAATAAGAAAGGAAAGAGGTCCAGGCTGGCTGGCATTGGCCTTAGCCCGCCCCTCGGGTCACAGTTTGTGGCCTAGACCCTACTTTTCTAGAGCCAAGCCAATCAGGCTCGACTAGGCTGCCCGGCCCGCCCTACTCCCCCATTAATGTTTTGGCTCGTGCACAGCTGCACTACTCCCGTTTTCTAACTACTCTATTTTTAAACGCACAATAATGTGATCCATTTTGAGTGACATTTGAGATTTACTCCATTTGGTTTGCATGAAGTAGGTTAGATGGGTGTCTTAAACACAGTATACAAAATGAAATCCACGATCTTCCCTCACCAACGAACATTATATATAGAGTAGTATCCGACACACTATTTGGATCTCAATGCTGATCCGATTTACTATTTGGATTCGGATATGAATTCGATATATATTATTTGGATCCGGATCTGTTTTGAACCCGGATCCAACCTAGATCCAATGTATAATATCCTGATCCAAATATGGATCTGGTAGGATCCAGCCCCGATCCGACCCGTTCTCACCCTAGTCAATGCTGCGAGTGTAGTATCAAAAAAGAAAGGAAATGGAAATGCGTCGGGGTCGTATAGGTAGTATCCCCGCATCTTAGTCCCTACATTGTGATTTTTATTTCCTGACACTACCACATTAACATTTTAAAAAAACTAACTCCTCAATTATTTGAAAAAATGGGTAGGGGCACTGGATTATCCAAAAAAAAAATATAAATAAAAAAACATGAATCATATGATTGTTTGCACTAAAACCCTTGTACCAATAACATTGTTGTACTAGGGTTCGACTTCATTCTTGAAAACATAGAGAAGCTCCTGCTTGAACATTCTCCACAATTTTCAACTCAATGGTTTACTGTCGTTTTTCTTGGTACGATTGAACTAGCTCAAAGCAAAGGACTGGAAATCTTTCCCAAAGGTTTCCCAACGCCGGTAAAATCTCTTTTTAGAGAAAGAGAGAGAATTCATAAAAGGTAAATATTCTCTTTCTAGATTGCTTATTTGATTTTCTTGATTGAAGTTTGACGGGTATGCTTTCGATTTGTTTCAACATATTTTGATCTTTTTGTACGGAAAATTCGACACAAGTTTATGAAGTTGCTCTGTTATATCATTTGGAAGCCATGCCAGCAACGTACGAGATCGATTTCGGAGAGGTCTTACGATTCAAGGGCCCTGATGGGTCCCTATTTGGATCTCCTTCTTTAACAGCATGCGCATTCATAGCTACAAAGGATTCTGATTTCCTCAACTATCTCATATCCATGTTTCAGAAAGTTGGAAATGGAGGTAGAAGAAAAACACTAAAACATTACGGGGGACTAACGCTGTATCTTTTTCTCTTTTTCGTGTTCTTTTTGTTTTTTATGTTGAATGTAGCTTTGTAAACATAACGAACGATGCTGATACAGTTCCTGCAACATATCATGTGGACGAGGGGTTCATTAAGCTATGGATGGTCGACGTGTTGGAGAATTTAGGGTTGGAAGAGTACTTTTTAGAAGAGATACAAAAAGGGTTAAAAGATACATATATGTAAGCAGTTCACAACACAACATAGAACAAGGTCTTGATACTCGGACGGCTTGGCTTCAATGAAGATTGCACAAGCCAGGTCCGAGATCTGGAACTTTGGATGGTTTGAATTGTAAAATTCACAGTCTAGGTAACAGTTTGAGGTTAGGAACTTTAGACAGCTTGGCTTGTGTGAACCTTCAAGGTTTAGGACCTCACATCAAAGTATTCCAAGGATTTAGCCCTTAGACCACGTAGCTTCCATAATGTTTATGTAAGCCAAGCGGTTCGAGGATTCTGGTCCCTGTACTTCAGAAAAGTTTTTGTTTTTAAAAATAAAAATCGTTCAATATTTAGAACATCGAACTATAAGACTGAGGGGCAAAACTGAAAAATATAAAACATACGAAAAAAAGCAGTGAGTTGATGTTTAGAACATTGAACTAGTCGACCTCCTTGTAAATTTTAATAAATTTAGGACCTCTGCATAATTATCATATCTAAATATAGTACAAATGTAAATTTTCCTAAAAATTAATATAGAATAGAATAAGAAATTCGTCAAGGCGCTCATAGATTTTCGTAGGCTTTTCTTACTAATTTATCATTTTTCTTTTTTTTTTCTTCTTCTATATAGTACGAAATTTTTGATATGTTGTTGAAAAATGCAGGGTTTGGATGGAAGATGATGAAGAAACAATGCGCAACTCTTGGTGGCAGAAGAAATGTACAAGGATTCACTTGCATTTAGATTTCTACGGACCATGGATACCGTGTGTCCCCACGTGAGCCATTTTTTTGGGTTGCCCTCACTATTTTTTTCAGTTATTTAAGTACGAACCTTAAATAAGTTAGAAAAATACGAGTTGCACTTTTTATATCCGAAAATTACAATCAACGTCGATGAACATGATTTTTTTTTGACAAAATTACCCCTCAGTCAATGCTTTTTTTTTTTAAAAAAAAAACTTAAAGTTGCGGTCCGATGATGTCATCTTCGGACCGTTTTTTTTTTTTTTTCAAAACTTAATTTTTGGTCTGAGGTTGAAATTCTCGGGCCAAAACTTAAATTTTGAAAAAAAAAAAACGGTCTGGGGATGGCATTCCCAGACCACTTTTTTCTTTCAAAATTTAAGTTTTGTTACGAGAATTTCAACCTCGAACCCCAGCTTAAGTTTTGAAAAAAAACAAAAAACGTTATGAGAATTTTATACTTGGACCACAACTTAAGTTTTTTTTAAAAAAAGTCCGACAATGACATTCTCAGACAGAGGGATAATTCCGTAAACAAAAAAAACATGTTGACTGACCTTGGATGTAATGATGGCATATAAAAAGACCACACCATATTAGGATACCATTTTTACATAATTAAATACTTTTTTCTTGGCTCATTCGTCATGGTCCCAATTGAGTACGACAAGGTAAAGCTTCCACTTTTGAGTTATGGATTTATTAGATTTGTCCCATCTGAAGACAGCAAGGCCCATCATCACATTATAACTCAGTTTAGTGTACGAAGTGTAGAAACAAAAAGCAATCTACGAAAACAAAAAAGAAGAAACAAATACAAAAGAAAGAGACAACTATCCACAACACAAAGATATACGTGGCTCGGCACGTGCCTACGTCCATGAGAGATTAGAGCTTCTTTGCTAGCAGTACTCTCTCTTCCTCGTGTCACTCTGTTTTTATCTAATTACAAAGAGATCTTTGTTTTTTCCTTAACCCTTAACGGCCCTCTGGAGTAGTCTTTTTGACTCCACCTTGGCAGATCTATTTACTCAGAATACAAGACATCAATCCTCAACACGAAGTCTCTCTCTCCTCTTTTATTTTCTTAACTTTTTAATCTCTCTCTTCCCCCTCTTTTATTTTCTGGACCGAAGCTTGCATATGTAGAAATGCGGGCTTTTTAATAAATTTATTTAGGAGATGGAATTTAAGAATTAATTTTTAAAAACAAGTAGCCTCTAACATTGAATATAAACAAATAAATAAATTTTAAAAACAAAAAATAATAATTCTAGTAAGAAAAGACTTATAACCGTTAGTTTTCATTGTTTTTAGATGGAACACCAACTTGCATCCATCTTTAAGATAGATGCTTTATACTTTATGGACAGCATATATAGAACTGCGATCCAGCCCGCATGAAACAATGTTCCTTATTATCTTAACTTTTTCATTTTGTGTTGAACTTTCATTACCCAATGCTTTTATATATTATTTCCTCATATGAGTTATCTAAATGAAAATGTATTGTTTGTTCTTTATTAATTTTTGATTGGTACTATGTGAACTGTAAATAATTTGCAAATATATAGACTATTTCATTATTGAATATCCAAGTTAACTCCCTCAAATACTTCAGTTAGAGTTAGTAGCGCATGTGATGGATTCTAGTCTCGAATGAATATGTAAACCAATTAGAAGATATCTTCTTCCGATGTATTTTCGACATCTGCCATAACGGCATTCATATCTCTCAATTTTTGAGTAGACAAATGGTGGTATAATCCATAAAACTCATGGGTTAATTGATGGAGATTGTAGCAATTTGCTGGTAAGTTTTGTTGGTACTTGTCCAGCCCTCAAATCAGATCGCACGTGGAAGAGAACTACGAAGAATATTTAATCCCAATGCTCAGTGTTTATAAGGCATCCCATTTTATGTTCGTGGGAGAAAACGAACTTGAAAATGCAATGTCCTTCTCCAAATCACTGTTAGAGAAGGCTTTGTCCAACCATAACACCTATGCTCGTTTCCTTTTTCTCAAGGATCTTCGAGATGAGGTCTGTAGGATCTCCATATGCTTGAAAGTATTCATTTTAATTTCAAATAAAATAAAATATATAAATAATAGAATTGCATTAATGTATAATTATATAATTCAGTTCATACAAAATAGTATTTGATTTTTATTGGGAGAGAGAGAGAGAGACGCGTTTGAATGTACAATTAAAGAAAGCTCTTGGATTCTTTTTTTCAAAGATATCATATAATCATGGGTAATGATCAAAAGTATCCCCTTTACTCAAAATTTTTAAAAATACCCAAATTTTTTAAAATCTACATCCATACCCATACCCTTCATGGACTCATAGGGCCGTGAAGAATCATCATGGATCTAATAGGCCGTGATGGTCCAAGCTTGTTCCATGCTAGTGATAGACCAATCCCATGACATATATAGTTGTAAAAGGACCATCACAGTCCTAACATGATTATGATAGTCCATGCACCCTTATTGATAGACCATCATGATTTGAATAGGCCCGTGATGGAACTTTCATTCCTTAACCCTCTAAAGGACCATTTAACACCATAATCCAATAAAGGACCTTCACGGCCTTGCGGTGACCCACAAAAGCAATGGAAAATTGATTGCCTTCTGCAGAGAGGGACTGGGCTACCTTCCGACGTACTGTGGCAATATGACCGACAAGTGACTTGCTGGTGGCTGGGTGCATGCTGTGTGTGGCAATAGACGTGCTGTCAATGCAGGGTTCCTTGGCTGAGGTTCCACCAGAGCGAGAAGATGGGAAGTGAGGGACCTTCAAGTCCTACTCACACCAATCCAGATTAAGACCTGGGAGCTAGACAATGGGTCTTTGCTCAAAAGGATGGTTGGGAACGAAGTTGGAGGAACTTGTTCCCTAAGGACACTCGCGAATGTGGGGATGAGAAAATCCCCGATTCGGATGAATGGGTTACAGAACCCGCAAACCATAAGTAATGTGTGAGTACAGAAAATAAAAAGGAGAAACTAACCAAATAAGTACGATCCGACTAGGGGGTAGTAAGTCCCTAGTGGAGTCGCCGGCTGTGTTGGAAGAAGAAGAGAAAGAAGACATTGTCGGTGCTAGGCATCGCTGGCCGTGTTAGAAAAAGAAGAGAGAGAAGACACAGTCGGTGTTAGGTATCGTCGGTTGTGTTAGAGAGGGAGGGGGCAAGAAGGAGAGAGAGAGGACACAGTCGATGCTACGTATCATCGGTTGTGTTAGAGAGAGAGGGGGCAAGAAGGACACAGTCGATGTTAGGCATCACCGACTGTGTTTGTTGAGAAGAGAGGAAAGAGAAAGACGCAATTGATGCTAAGAATTGTTGGTTGTGTTTTAAGAAGAGTGGAGAGAGAAAGACACAATCGACGCTAGGCATTGCCGGCTGTGTTTCTAGAAGAAGAACAAGAAGGAGGTAGGGATGAGAAGAAGAGAGAGAACGAGAGATAGAGACGAGAAGAAGAGAGAGAAAGAGAGATAATGATGAGAAGAATAGAGAGAAAGAGAGATAGAGATGAGAAGAAGAGAGAGAAAAGAAGAAGAGAGAGAAAGAGAGATAGAGATGAGAGAGAGAGAGATAGAGACAAAAAAGAGAGAAAAGAGAGATATAGATGAGAAGAAGAGAGAGAAAGAGAGATAAATACGAGAATAAGAGAGAGAAAGAGAGGTAGAGATGAGAATAAGAGAGAAAAAGAGATAAAGAGAGAAAAAGAGAGAAAGAGAGAGTGATGAGAAGAATAGAGAAAGAGAGATAAAGATGAGAAGAAAAGAGAGAAAAAGACGAGAAAAAGAGAGAGAAAGAGAGATAGAGATGAGAAGAAGAGAGAGAAAGAGAGATAGAGATGAGAAACAAAGATAAAGACAAGAAGAGAGAGAAAGAGAGAGAGATGAGAAGAAGAGAAAGAGAGATAGAGATGAGAAGAAGAGAGAAAGAGGGGAGGAGAGAGAAAGTTACTTTACTGAAGGGTACCGGTGCTTTTCTTCTGTCTCCTCTCTCACTCCAAGATGCACCCACGAGCTTAAGCAAAAATGGAATCTTTATTCAATCTTTAAGAATTAACCCCAATGGATTTTATGATTTGGCTTTACATACTTATATAGAATTTGGCCCAAACATGGGTGGATGCCCAAAAACTACCTAGAATTGAATATAATTACAATTAATGGAATTAAAAGAAATTCTAAAAATGGGTGTAAAAGGAATGTTTTGCCCCTGCCTCACAATGTGTGGAATTCCAAAACAGTCCCTACTGCTGCCCGAGAACTTACGTGACCTTTCATGACTGATATGAGGTTGTTCTAATGCTCGTTTGATTGAAAAATGATTGTTTTCTTGTGGGGCTCAACATTGCATTCGATTTGATACCAACTTCAAACCATGAATCATGCTTTTAAGCCATGATCATTAAACTTGAAATTTGCTTGAATCGTGAAAACTTTGGATCGATTGTGTGCTCGTTTCTTAATCTTTTTCTTCAATTTTTTCTCTGAATCACACTAAGCATGCTGTCACGATCACGTTGCAACAAATATAGCTCGATTTCGTGTCCGAATGAAGCTTTCGTCGTCTTGAGTTTTTGGCCGGAATCTTAAAATTCGACAGTCGAAATTTACAGCAGCTGCAGCGTCTCTGTGTGGAATCCAACCATTCATCGTACACGGGATTTGGACCAGAGAAAGCCACAAACCTCACACACATAATGCAATGGGTTTCCTGCCGATCGGGTATGCGAGCGCCATGATTTGGATGTTGCTGAATTTATTTTAATTTTCTTCACGAATCAGCAATTTCTCCCTAGTTTATCTCCCTACTCGGGCATTGTCACGGGTCGTACCACATATCAAAACGCTTGTCTTGATGAGACGAACATGCTCACAAAATTTGAGAGCAATCTAACATGGAGCGAGTGAGATATAGGCCTCGAAAGTTACTTCCTATGACTGTAAAAATAACCACCTTTAATAGTGTTTTGGTGCAGGGTTTCCACATGGGAAAAGTGTGTGGCCTACCCCTTTTGGTATTTTACCCCTAACTTTGTCCTAGAGTGCCCGATTAAGTTGAAACTTGACTAATAGGAGTTTTCGATCGTGCCGGATTCAATGATGGTGATCCCACAACTGTTTGACGTACCAAAAATATAGTTCTAGTTACGGGGTCCATTTCAGGGTGCTAAATGCCGATTTTACCGAAATTATTTTTTTGTGTTCACTACCTTAGACATGTCTGATCACGATGAAACTCGACAGGTGGCCTTTTGTAGTGTTGATGAAGAACTTGATTGATTTTGGGGCCATTTTGAGACTGTCAAAATTTCCACTATTTTGTAGCCTTTATTGACCTGCTTCCTCTTTATTCCGCATCGGGGACCAAGGTGCTGAAAAATACGTTCAAATAGCGGTGCTGGGTATCATCGGTTGTGTTAGGAGAAGAAGAAAGAGATGACACAGGCGGTGCTGGTTGTCATCAGCTGTGTTAGGTGAAGAGGAAAGAGAGGACACAAGCAGCGCTGGGCATCGTTGGCTGTGTTAGGAGAAGTGGAAACAGAGGACACAAGGCATGCTGGGCACGTCAACTGTGTTAGGAGAAGATGAGAGATTGGACACAAGTAGTGCTGGGCATCGTCAGCTGTGTTTAAGAAAAGAGGAGAGAGAAGGACACAGGCGGCACTGAGCGTCGTCAATTACATTTAGTGAAAGAGGACAGAGAAGGACACAAGTGTCACAACCCCGCCCTTGACCCCTGCAGACGAGTGACAAAGCGCGGGTTCCGATCACAAATGTGACTCAGTTGGGAGTGGCTTAACGCATGAAAACACGGAATCAAGAGTAAACCATGAAAGAAAACAAGAATAAAACCATCCATCAAAACAAATGACAATTCAAAAAGTATAGACATCCAATTCATCCAATATTAAAAAGTCTTTACAATTCCTTCAAGGCACTACTAACCGAAAATACACAAAATGAGGTACACCACACATTACTGGGACATCCAAAACATACAATGAAAGTCTTCAAAGGACAGCTTTTTAACCTCTCAACTTCAAGCTTCAAATCTCCAATGATAACCCACCTTAAGCTCAGGTTTCAACACTCTTCACTCTACAGTTATGAAAATAAGATGGAATAAGCTAACAGCCCAGTAAGAGGATCTACACCATTGCATTCCAACTAGCATGATAGTAATAACAAATACGCAATACACATATACGTACATATACACATGTATCAAATAAAGTCCCACAACATGCTTCTCAACACTCTAACAGAAATGTGAGAAAGGCAGTTCAATATATATAATGCATAAGTCACAATCACCTTTCTTAAAGTAGAGTAATAAAGACAGCAGATCACAACTTCAGTTAAAAGCTCATGCACAAAACGTAAATAAGTCAGGCAAACAGATCTATCTATTCTTGAAGTAGAAGCCACATTGGTCAGGCTAAGCCAATCCTGAGCTTGGGACTTCTACCATCACTCAGGAGGGTGGACCATGACAAGTGAAAGACCCACTTCGTAAGGACCTCACACACGCACACATCCCCATCGTGCTTTGGTGTTTTTGATAGGCAGAGGCCTTGCAAGACACTACCCTCTCCTTGCACCCTTTTGGCGAGAGGGCGTTACACTACCATTGGGTGACCCAATGCATAGTGCCCACATAGATTTAGGGGAGCGACCCTCCCAACTACTCACATCTTGAGTCTCGTCCTATCATGGGGAGTCAAGGAAAAATCGCAGCTGCTGGCACCATCATTCACACAGTAGGTGCCCTTTCACATAACATAATAGCATCACAGCTACGGCTACCATCATTCGCACAGTAGGTACCAATTCACATAACATAAGCATCATGATACCATCATTCACACAGTTGGTATCCCTTCACATATAACATAAGCATTATGATACCATCATTCACACAATAGGTATCCATTCACATCTAACATAAGCATCATGATACCATCATTCACATAGTGGATATCCATTCACATATAGTATAAGCATTACGA